CCCAGACACTGCCTTAATCGACTGAGCTACGACAGGGTTAAAAGAGTTGAAACCGAAGTTCTACTGAACCTACTGGATCAAATGAACATTTGTTCATTTGATGCATCACGTTAGTTTGATCTCTGTGTGTAGCTAACAACGTGATCCTGCAGGCATACACAGTACCTACACATTCATACCCAATACCATACTCAATACTACTCAATACCACCCCTTCATCTTTCCAGCCTCGTTGACTATAAACAAATCAATTATCATCCACATTTCCGTGGAACTAAACATTCCATTCAGCTATCCGTCAATAGCTCGGTCGATAGAGCTTCGGCCTCACACACGTGGGGTCGACGGTTCGAGTCTCCTAGAGCCCAGGTGAATGGCACTATAAACCAAGTCGTTGAGATTCGTACAGTCCACTCTCCAGGATCACTAAATCGTCCCCGGGGTGCTAAATACATGTGTGAAGGCTCTCATGTCATACTAATATACAAAATATGTACAACTGTTGAATTAACATGAGTTCAGGGTAGGAAAACCAGGAAACATTTGACACTGCCCCATAAGAAGCTCGAGGGGCTCCAGTGGGGTTTCAGCGGGTTCCAGGGGCTCCAGGAGGGCTCCAGCGGGTTCCAGGGGGCTCCAGCGGGCTCCAGGGAGCTCCAGCGGGCTCCAGGGGAGGCTTCAGCGGGCTCCAGGGGAAGGCTCCAGGGGCTCATGGAGAGTGTTTAATAGAGTCCCTCGAGGATGACTGCTGGGGCTCATGCTACTAACAGTATGCGTGAATGACAACTGCAGAACGGGACACCTTTGTACCACTATTGAAGATAACGTAAAGTTAGAAAAGGTCAATTTTGACGCCAAGGTATCCAGAAAAGCTCTGATAAGTTGCAAGCATGATCTGACAAATGGTTAACAGAGTTTAATCCAAGTAAATGCAAGATTACGAGGATGGGGAAAAAAATATGGAAACTAGAGAAACAAAAACACAGAACATTTTACCAGGAGTCAGAGAGAGACAAAGATTACTCTCATCCATAGCATAAAAATCTAATATCAAAGTGATTGGAAGTCATATGACGACCGATTATTAGAAAAGTGAGGCGGGCCCAGGAGTTGAAGACTAGTCCTGTGAATTCTATTATATAAAAGAGGTAAGATCTTCCCAATCTCTCCTCCCACGCCTTCCTGTGTGAAACACAGAACCAGGCACGCCCCCCCTTCCCCTCCCTAAGCCAAACAGCAGAGGCGGGCCCACAGATCCGGCCATCAAGGATCAATACTCAAGACTGGAAATCCTAGTTAGGTTTAGTGCCATGTTCTCCCCCCAAAGCTTCGTCTGAGACCATACTATCTGCTGGGGAGGACTTGCTGGGGTGTGGTTGTTGTTTGTGATGTTGTATAGTGTGTATGGTGTATGGACGGTGCTGGAGTGTAGTGGTGTTGATGCTGTGTAGTGCACGGTGTATGGTGGGACAATACGTACAGTGTTACCATTGGCTGCCCATCCGTCATTCCGTCAATCAATCTATCCGCTCGACCGTATGCTTGCGTGCGCGTTTGTTAGTCCGTCCATCTGTCTACCTCTTCGTCTGTCAGTGTGCACATTCGTCTGAACGGTCATTCATTTACCAACCTGTCCATTCGTACGCCCACTCAAGTCTGCCTGTCTTACAAACATGACCTTCCTGTGGGGCAAATCTCTCCCAAACATCCCCCATCCTGCCATCAAGAACTCTCTCAAACATCAGTTCCCTGTGAGCCAGATCTCTCCCAAACACCACCTTCCTGTGAGCCAGATCTCTCCCAAACACCACTCCCTTGTGAGCCAGATCTCTCCCAAAAACTGTTACATTTAACCTTGTCTGTGACCCAGTTCATCCACTCTTCTCTCTAACCTGGTGTATTGATCCTTGCATTCTTTAAAACTGAAGGGCTAGTGTGGACCATTGCTAGTGTTCAAGGGATAGTTTGGAGCAAATGCTCCCCCTTCTGGATAGTCTGGATTAGTTCACCCTCTTAGGAGGAGGATAGTTTTGATTAAGATGCGATCAAGGACTATCCTGGGGCATTACTTAGTCAAGTGGAGTGCCACCAAACTCGTCCTTGGTGGAGAGGTCGCAAGGAGACTCCCAAATTCGTCTTCATTATTAGTTCATTAATTAAGAGCTCATTAATGAGAGCAAGAGCTCAACAATGAGGGCAGTAACTCAAGAACTGGTGCAGGAGCCCACGCATAAGAGCAAGGATCTGATTAATGAGAGTAGAAGCTCATTAATGATAGCAAGAGGTCATTAACGGGAGCAAGAGGTCCTCAATATTGGTTGTAGCAGCTTATTATGGATAGCAGGAGCTCAACAATCAGAGCAGGACCTCACATAATGAGAACAGGAGCTCAACAATTAGAGCAGGACCTCACATAATGAGAACAGGAGCTCAACAATCAGAGCAGGACCTCACATAATGAGAACAGGAGCTCAACAATTAGAGCAGGACCTCACATAATGAGAACAGGAGCTCAACAATCAGAGCAGGACCTTACACAATGAGAACAGGCGCTCAACAATGAGAACAAGGGCTGTGTCCTGGTGGGTTTGGGTCTGAAATATATGTTGTCAACATTCTATGATTCTGCAGATGGAATTATCAACTTTAGGATCCATTAAAATTTTAAAGACTCTCTTTAAATCGAGTTTTATCAATGGCAGGTTCGGGAGCTCTTATGGCTATGTAGGATAAGAGCTCTTATGGCTATGTAGGATAGGAGCTCTTATGGCTATGTAGGATAGGAGCTCTTATGGCTATGTAGGATAGGAGCTCCTATGGGTATATATAACGAGAGCTCTTATAGCTGTGTAGGATAAGAGTTGGTTGAGCATGCAGATGACATAGAGACATCAATGTTATTCCTGGAGGAACTTACTACAATAACGTTGTATTTAAATGAAGGTGACTGAAGGACCTAATTTATGTTTATTAAAGACCTAATTTTCGGATGCACCCTACATCCTTTCTCAAGGTGATGTATGCAATGTTCTGAAGAAGATTCTAGGAACTTGCATTGATAAATTTAGCGTCCGTCATTAGTCGTGGTTGGGATTATACGATTGATTGATTGGTGAAGATTAAGCCACCCAAAAGGTGGCACGGGCATGAATAGCCCGTAAGTGGTGGCCCTTTGGAGCCATTACCAGTAACAATAACTGATACTGGAGATCAGTTATCTGCGTGACGGGAGATCTCTTTCCCGAGGGGATTATGCTGCCAAGTGATATCCAAGTTTCAGAACAGTGCTCATTTATCCTGACTTCTGGAACCTGTGGGCGGGGTTCTGCCGAATCCCTATCCCTACTCTGGACACCACAACGTGTCTGCTTATATCACATACCATAGTTAACCATAAAATTGTTCTTAAGGAAGCAAAACTAGCTTATTTCATTAAGTGGTATAAGCAGAGACATTGTGGGGTCCAGAGTAAGGATAGGGATTCCGCAGAACCTCGCTCACAGGTCCCAGAAGTCAGGATAATTGAGATAGAACATTCTCTGTAACATGCTGACATTGTAATTATAAGGTGTGAAGGATAGATGAAATTGTTAATGTAATAATCTCCGTTGAAGTCTGATAAAGACCTTTCGTGTCCTTTATAATCCTTTTTCCGCTACCGCTCACAGGATGAGTATGGGGTGCACATTAAACTAGCCGCCTCCGGCGGCAACAATCATTCATCTTCTAAAACTTGGACATCCCTTGGCAGTATAATCCCCTCGGGAAAGAGATCTCCCGTCACGCAGATAACTGATCTCCAGTATCAGTTATTGTTACTGGTAATGGCTCCAAAGGGCCACCACTTACGGGCTATTCATGCCCGTGCCACCTTTTGGGTGGCTTAATCTTCACCAATCAATCAATCGTATAATCCCAACCACGACTAATGACGGACGCTAAATTTATCAACGAAAGTTCCTAGAATCTTCTACAGAACATTGCATATAGTACCTTGAGAAAGGATGTAGGTTACATCCGAAAATTGGGGCTTTCAATCATCTTCAGTGTTATTTACATTACGCGTGGCTGTCCATATGCTCAGCACCGCTCCTGTGCCAGGTAAGTCCACTACGGGCCCACCATAGCTCGTGCTACTTGCCTCGCTCCTGTGCCAGGTAAGTTACGGGCTCACTATAGCCCGTGCTACTTGGAACTTGTTCCGAGTAGCTTAATCTATAACAACAACAACGAATAATAACACACGGGAGACATCTCCCGTCACGCAGGATGCAGTCGCACCTCCACAGATCTCCAGTATCAGCTCTTGATACTGGTAATGGCTCAAAAGGGCTACCACTTACGGGCTATTCATGCCCGTGTCGCCTTTTGGGTGGCTTAATCTTCATCAATCAATCATCATCAATCGTCCATATGCTGCCAGTCCTGCACCCCTTCTGTTGGTAAACACCCATTCAGGTACTCTAACCCACCCTTCCTTCACACACTCATTCACTACCTTACACCCCGCCCACTTCCTCCATCCACCCATACTCTCCGCCCACTCACCCATCACGCTTCTACCCTCTCGTCCTCCCGTCCCCGTCCCCACAGAGAGAGAGAGAGAGAGAGAGAGAGAGAGAGAGAGAGAGAGAGAGAGAGAGAGAGAGAGAGAGAGAGAGAGAGAGAGAGAGAGAGAGAGAGAGGAGAACAACTCATTACACAGTATTACAAATGCTCTCCAGACAAGCAATATATTCCTGGTGTGCGGCGCTCGATCGAGAATATATAAAACATCTGCTTCACCTTTAAGATGTAAAATAAATAAAAATTAACTTTCCACAAAAAAGTTACACAAATGAGCTCCATATAAGCAGTATTGTGTTAAATGTTTAATCGTTTATTTTTTACTTTGTTCTTATTTTACATGTTGAGTATGGGAATAATAATGAAGAAATTTAAATAGTAATCCGGAGGGTGTTGAGAGCGGTGGGTCTTGGATCCTTGTGTTTGGTGGTCGGGGGTCGAGCTGGGGAGAAGCATCCACAGGCCAGTGTGCGGGTAGACGCCGGAGGAGCAGGGTGTATGCTGCTCGCTCCTCGTGCCTCATGTCCATGTGATTGATCTGTTTTCATCTTTCTTGAAAACAATCAACAAAAGTGAGTGTTGTGTATGGTCGCGTTGGAGTGTCCGTGAGACGTGCAAGAATTCTGACGTGAAATGAGACGATGCAATATGAGTTTTAAAGAGATTATCACATGTGCACAATAGTTCCAGTTTTTCTCCGCGGACAAGCGCTAACAAGAAAATCTTATTTAAATTGTACTGGAACTGTACTAAAAGGTGTCATGTGAAGGCAGTGCAGGAACCACGCAGTTTTCACTTGAAGTAAGTATCGTTTGTATATTAAGAAACGCTTGAGGCAAGTGATTTTATAATGTAAATATTGAATTGTCTGTCGTTCAAGCTAGAAGGGCGAAACAATCAGTGTATAAGTGAGCAAAAGTCAATCAGTACGAACGCATAACACAAGTTTAACGAGAAAACAAACCACAATCATTGGACCACATGCGTTGCAGAGTCGTGTATACCACTGACTGGACGGGTGTGAGGCTTCCTGGAACCAACATACTGGCAGGGGATCTTTCTGCCTCAAACACCGAGGTTCGATTAGGCAATGTTTCCCACATGAACAACACAGCACCGGCGCCACAGGCTCAAGTGTTGGTATCCACAAGGCCATGTTTAGTGCTCGACGCAGCTCCTGGGTCTTCCCTGCCACACGAGAGGGCGGTTATAATGCCTTGAGACAAGGGGGTGCGCGGGAGGGTGGAGAGCTGCTCACCTGGGCGAGGTGGGCGGGTGGGTTGGCAGAGCTCAGAGGGAGGTTATACCTGGGAAACCCCACGCATTCTTGGCCAGTGTTTATGATTCCCGTTACGCCAAGTAAGACTAAGCAAGGATTGCTTGACATATTCTCAAATGGATATCCCGACAGGCACGACTAAGCAAAGGACTCTTAAAACATCCTCAGGTGGGTATTCTCACAGGCAAGACTAAGCAAGGGATCCTTAAAACATCCTCAGGTGGGTATTCTCACATGCAAGACTAAGCAAGGGATCCTTAAAACATCCTCAGGTGGGTATTCTCACATGCAAGACTAAGCAAGGGATCCTTAAAACATTCTCAGGTGGGTATTCTCACAGGCAAGACTAAGCAAGGGATCCTTAAAACATCCTCAGGTAGGTATTCTCACATGCAAGACTAAGCAAGGGATCCTTAAAACATCCTCAGGTGGGTATTCTCACATGCAAGACTAAGCAAGGGATCCTTAAAACATTCTCAGGTGGGTATTCTCACAGGCAAGACTAAGCAAGGGATCCTTAAAACATCCTCAGGTGGGTATTCTCACAGGCAAGACTAAGCAAGGGATCCTTAAAACATTCTCAGGTGGGTATTCTCACAGGCAAGACTAAGCAAGGGATCCTTAAAGCATCCTCAGGTGGGTATTCTCACAGGCAAGACTAAGCAAGGGATCCTTAAAACATTCTCAGGTGGGTATTCTCACAGACAAGAAAGCCAAATAACAACAACAACAACAGATGACTGAAAGACGCTACGAAGGCCTTGTTAAGGCACCAGTAGCGTTAGGCCTATCGAAGCCAGTACGGGTGTAGGGTTTATACACAAAGTAGATAAATGCATGAATGAATGTGGCTGGGTAGGCCTAAATGGCACCTGTCTCGCATGGCAAAGTAGGCCTATTTGTGTTAAATGACGTAAAAGCTCGCTCAGCGCTTGACCTTCAAGCCAAAAATCTTATCATGCCTACCTTTCAGTAGGCCTACTTCAATATGTTACTTTATTCTTATATTTCTCGCTGTCCGGGACAGGAAGCCTGCACCTGAAGCCTATCGAGGTTTCTACTAAGCCAACTATTGCCCTTCAAGTTCGAGTTTATTGAGAAAAGGAAGTACATCTCAAAAGGATAGAATAGATTAGGCTATTTCTACCCTCGCTACTATCCTTCTTCTGGACGCAATCCGCAACAGGTGCGTAAAACCCGGGTACCTATTTCCTAGTAGTGAACAGGTGAAAGAAAACATGCCCAACTGTTTCTGTCTACCTCCCCCCCTCACCTGGGGATTGAACCCAGGTCCTTAGGTTATGGGCTGAGGATGTAGACCTGAGGACACATATCTTGAGGAGTTTTCGGGGCTCAGCGAACCCCGCGGCCCGGTCGTCGACCAGGCCTCCTTGTTGCTGGACTGGTCATCCAGGCTGTTTGACGCGGCTGCTCGCAGCCTGACGTATGAATCTCAGTCTGGTTGATCAGGTATCCTTTGGAGGTGGCTTATCGAGTTCTCTCTTGAACACTGTGAGGGGTCGACCAGTTATGTTCTTATGTGTAGTGGAAGCGTGTTGAACAGTCTCGGGCCTCTGAGTTCTCTCTCAGAGTACCTGTTACACCTCTGCTTCTCAACGAGAGTATTCTGCACATCCTGCCATGCCTTCTGGTTTCATGTGATGTTATTTCTGGGTGCAGGTTTGGGATCAGCCCCTGTACTATTTTCCACATGTAAATTATTATGTATCTCTCCCGCCTGCGCTCAAGAGAATACAAATTTAGGCATTTTAGTCTGTCCTAATAGTTTAGATGTTTTACTGAGTGAATTCTATGATTGAATTTTAATTAGGCAGTTAGATAAAACAGAGGTGAGGGAGGGACGATTACGAGGGACGAAGTTTCCCCTAGAGGGTGAGTTTATTGGGCAGCGTCACTCATCTTGTGAGTGAACATACCGCTTTAGTGACAGTATTGGGCACTCATTGTGTGAGTAAACATACCACCTTAGCAGCATGTACAACACCCCCCAATAGGAAGAAGGCCCCTTGGGTTTTTCATCCTGTCACTTGTACTCAGACACAACTGGGACTTAACTGTCTCTGGTAGCCAGACTGTTAAACAATGCCCACCATACCTTTGTGGACGCCATACCCCGTCCTGTGAGTGGTAGTGGACCCTATACACATCGCGTGAATGATAGTGGATAAACTTCTAGAACCACATAATAGGCTCAGAACTGAACCGCTCTATTAGTTAAATTAACAAGAAGTTACAAAATGATTTCTAAGACCTCAACCCCAATGTTCTATATAATACGCAGTCGTTGTGTCTGTCTTAGAAAGTGTTCTACCATTGGCTGGTAATTCTTGAGTCATGCGGTCAGAATGACTCGCTGTAATCAGGGTACTGGTGATGTTTCTCTCTCAGTAACTCTCATTGGAACAATATACTGCACCGACGACTCAGGCTCAATTGTTGGTACACACAAGGCCATGTTTAGCGAGGGACGCAACTGTTGGTATGTACAAGGCCATGTTTAGCGAGGGACGCAACTGTTGGTATGCACAAGGCCATGTTTAGCGAGGGACGCAACTGTTGGTATGTACAAGGCCATGTTTAGCGAGGGACGCAACTGTTGGTATGCACAAGGCCATGTTTAGCGAGGGACGCAACTGTTGGTATGCACAAGGCCATGTTTAGCGAGGGACGCAACTGTTGGTATGTACAAGGCCATGTTTAGCGAGGGACGCAACTGTTGGTATGTACAAGGCCATGTTTAGCGAGGGACGCAACTGTTGGTATGTACAAGGCCATGTTTAGCGAGGGACGCACCTGTTTGGGGTTTCCCGTCTACGCGAGTGGGGAAGCAACTCCTTAAACAGCAACACAATCATTTACGGAAGTGGCTTAAAATATACACAAATTTCTTACGAATCGAGGCGATTGTCTTCATGTAACTCTTAAGACACAGTCCGTTCTCTTGATTTGCCAATCCGTAAAAAATAGTTATTTTACCTAACCAGAAACGTACAAACCCAAGCAACCCGCCTAACCTAACTGAGGCCGATGCTCAGGAAACGTCAATATTATAGCGTTTGAATTTGTTCTCAAACATCGCATTTTGAACGGATTGGTCGATTCTATTAAAATTCGACGTGTTAGGTGAGAGGAGAATACAATGTAGATATGTCTTTCATCGAGAGCCTTGTTGACAGGTGGTGAACCTTTGTTGTGTCGAGTGGTTCGTGTACCGAGTGGTTCCGTGTACCGAGTGGTTCCGTGTACCGAGTGGTTCTGTGTACCGAGTGGTTCGTGTACCGAGTGGTTCTGTGTACCGAGTGATCCCGTGTACTGGGAACACAATCCTGAGTATCGTCAACAATCAGGTGACGTAATCAGTAGGGTCCTACCGTGTGGCGTCGAAGTAACGTCACACACCTGAGTCAGTACACCTCGTCCACACAATACATGAAACACAAAATGTTCTGTTATTTCCGTAAGGTTGGTTAGATTAGGATAGACTGGGTTAGGTTAGGTTAGGTTAGGTTGGGCTTGATCAAGTTTGTTTGAAGAATAGCTATGACGTCGTGGATACATAATTTTTCTCAGGTCTTAGACCCTACTCGCCCTAATACTCTCCCGATACAATGAAATCCAACTCTCTACAATGTATGGAATAAGAAAGATTTTGCAAGAAGTGGAGATGCTCTGGTAATTATGAAGAGAAAGCACTAAACCAATAACACTATATAACACTAGTAAGGGATATGAGGCCAAGGAGCTGGGATATGAGGTAAGGACTGGAACTGGGATATGAGGACGGAACGAAAGGACGTTGCCCAACCACCTAGACCATCGGGAGTCGAACGCCGGCCTGCACGAAGCGAGGCCGTCGCTCTACCGTCCAGTCCTAGTGGCTGGCATGGGCCTGGGGACTGCGGAAATACTGTGGCGTGGGCCTGGCCAGCTTCCTCGGATGCAGTCAGCAAGAGTGAAGATTTTATCACCTTTAACTTGGCAATGTTTGCTTCCTAAGTCCGCCTCCGCTGCGCTGGGGGATGTTCTGAATGTGTCTGTCACTCAGGGTCCTGGCCGGTGTTGGCTGGGGTCCTGGCCGGTGTTGGCTGGGGTCCTGGCCGGTGTTGGCTGGGGTCCTGGCCGGTGTTGGCTGGGGTCCTGGCCGGTGTTGGCTGCGGTCCTGGCCGGTGTTGGCTGGGGTCCTGGCCGGTGTTGGCTGGGGGTCTTGGCCGGTGTTGGCTGGGGGTCTTGGCCGGTGTTGGCTGGGGTCCTGGTCGGTGTTGGCTGGGGTCTTGGCCGGTGTTGGCTGGGGTCCAGGGATGAGAGGGACTTATCCAGATTCGACGTTTGGTGTTTTTGTTAAGGAGTTCGTGTGTTTGTACCTAGTTGTATCAAATACAACTGTATTACATGTGTGTATGTGTTCACATCTAACTGTATACTATGTGTCTTCATACCTATCAGCCTATTAGATCTCTGTATACTACTGGTATTTTGGCCTCGTATTATCTCTGGACGTATTTAGTCTATTATTTAGAGACGTATTTGATAGGTTTTTTTTCGGGTTCTCCAAGAAGAAGAACAATTCCCTACGCATTATTTATATTGGGTTTTACACTCTTAGTTCTTTTATATGAATATTTGAAATTATAAATAGTGTCTGCCTCGTTTTCTTTTCTTGACTGGTTCCTGTGTGTCTATAGCCTTGCTCACTTGGATATTTAGTTTGCATCTAAGCCCACTTGTTTCAGTCACTACTGTGTCAAGCAGGGTGCCTCTGCTACCCTTCCAGATTGCTGTATAGTCCTCCAGCTTGGCTGCTACTTTTGATAGTTACCTCACTTATCCTGAGTATTTTCAATGTCACGCAACGTCCTTGGCAGAGATTTACCATACCAGGTGTTCTCTATACGTGCACCTGGCAGTGCCCGGTTCGACCCCCAGAATGTTGCGCCACTGAAGTGTTAGGCGCCTCCCAGAATGCATATATACCATCAAGACATGCGTTGTGCATATCAATATCTGAATTCTGGATATTAGGATTCCCATGATGAAACTCTGTCGACTCACCGACCACAATTTCATCACCACCGACTATTTTTAAAATGCACTTGACTCTGATGATGAAATTCTAAAGTACAAACATGCTCCATGTTTGTAGATCATGCCATGTCCGACAATGCAAGTCCAACACTCGACGAGGACGCCGACAGTGGCGTACCCAAGCCATATTCGCCGTATGTTACCGGAAACTTCGTAGTTCATTGTTTTAGCCCTATTAACTTGCCTGGAGTTGCACTGGACTTACCCGGCGCACCCAGCAGTTCCGTCCAGGCGGCCACACAGTCAACATGCCGGGGCCAGGAGCTAGGCCTCGCTACACGTCTATAAACAATCCGCTAAAACTAGATTGATTGATTGATGAAGATTAAGCCACCCAAAAGGTGGCACGGGCATGAATAGCCCGTAAGTGGTGGCCCTTTTGAGCCATTACCAGTATCACGAGGTGATACTGGAGATCTGTGGAGGTGCGACTGCACCCTGCGTGACGGGAGATGTCTCCCGTGGCTAAAACTAAGGACTAACTCAAATAAATATAAACACCCGCTGTCTCCAACGACGAAACCAATACCCGGATTAGTATGTGTGTCCAAAACGTCATCAAACAGAAAATACACTTACCAAGGATACATAAGAGTATAAAAAATATATAACAAGTTCACCTTAATGCATTATGGTGAACATTATCTTCACTACATTCATTATATATATTGAAATCATGGCGTTGCGTTCAGGTCACATAACTGTGAAGCAACCCGGAGCTTGTGGTGGGTTTCTTGCAGTTCAATATTCGATTACTGTTATGAGTATCGAGGAAACAGGTCCATATATAGATATACTGTGGGAATGTTGTTTTGTGGTGCTTCGATGGTGTGTGTGTGTGTGTGTGTGTGTGTGTGTGTGTGTGTGTGTGTGTGTGTGTGTGTGTGTGTGTGTGTGTGTGTGTGTGTGTGTGTGTACTCACCTAGTTGTACTCACTTAGTTGAGTTTGCGGGGGTTGAGCTCTGGCTCTTTGTTCCCGCCTCTCAACCGTCAATCAACAGGTGTACAGATTCCAAGACACAGATGTGTGTGTGTGTGTGTGTGTGTGTGTGTGTGTGTGTGTGTGTGTGTGTGTGTGTGTGTGTGTGTGTGTGTGTGTGTGTGTGTGTGTGTGTGTGTCTATAAGTGAACGACTTTTAATCACAGCCACACTGTAAGTCCTAGGTGTAAGTTAAGTTTGTTTATCTTGTTTACAGTGTGTTTGTGATGGCGAGAGAAGCTTGAGGAGGCGAGGTGGTGGACGGTCGGTCGCTGTGCCGAGAGGTTCAGCTACACACACACACACACACACACCACACTCAAACACCACACACACAAACACTACTCCTTCCTACGTAGAAACCACCCCTATCCCTCTACACATACACTTTACTCCACCCTTCAACTCCCTCATCCCTCTCCCTACAACCCCCCAACCCACTCCTGCGTCCATTCTACCTATCCCACTGTCACCCATCCCTCCCTCACCCACCAAACATGGAGCTGCTCACCACGAAGATCATCGCCCTGACGCTGATGGGGGCGTTATCACTGGTGTTCGGGCTACTGCCCCTTCGCCTGAGGAAGTGCCTGGCGCAGGGCAGCAGGAGAAGGGAGAGAACTGTCAGCTGCCTCCTGTGCTTCGGCGGGGGCGTCCTCCTGGCCACCGTCTTCACCCACATGCTGCCAGAGACGAGGGAGAGCTTCAGCAAAGCCTTCCAAAAGAAGCTTCTGAGCGCCGGGGCTCACTACCCTCTGGCGGAACTGGTCACCTGCGCTGGCTTCTTTCTCATTTACTTCGTCGAAGAGTTTGTCCACAAGGTAAGATAATTTTTGTGTAGATTTACGTTCATGTAGCTGCATTGTTTAATGTGTGTGTACTCACGTAGTTGTGCTTGCGGGGGTTGAGCTTTGGCTCTTTGGTCCCGCCTTTCAACCGTCAATCAACTGGTGTACAGATTCCTGAGCCTACTGGGCTCAGTAAGATTCATCTCGCTACCTCCAAGATGATGCTTACCGCCCGTATACCTGGTCGCCGCTAGTGAAGGGCTAATTAAAATCTTGAGTTGTATATTGTATTTAATGGTTGATTTTTTTATGGTGGCCTATATAGTGGTCTATTGTATATTATAGGCCTACATTATTGTTAGTATTGTATTATAGGCCTATATTGGGCTTCATAAGACAATGTGAAGGAATAGGAAATGTAGATGTTTATCTCTCAGAATGTTTGGTAATATGTTTATTGTTTGTGATGTGTGTATATGTATGTATTACACGATGTACTGAACGGGGTGAGAATAGCTTGAGCTACCTTATCCCTTTCTGTGTATTTTACCTCAAACTTATTTCAATTTCACTTTCAATGTGAAGGAAACGTGAGACAGGTAAATGACGGAAAGTATCATACTCGTTCCTCACAAGGATTCCCCGCCTCTACCCTCGTCTTACGGTCCCCACGACGATCACCGCCGCTGGGGTATCTCCTCAGCAAGTCTTTATTGACCATTTTTCCCGTCTCCGAAGTTTGAAATGTATTTCAAAATTTTTTTGGGGGGGATAAACTTTGTTCTCCAAGTAAGTTTCACTTTGAATCCGCGTTTAAAATTATTTTTTTTCCCTAAAAATAAAGAAAAAAAATTAGCTGTCAGGCGAGAGTTCTCATGTTAAGAAACTTTTGCAATACAACTCCGCTGTCGACTCTCAGAATACTCTGGGATTCCCGCCAAGTTTTTTTTTTTTTTTTAGGTGCTCGCTCCCGGCGAGAGGTGTAGTTTATGGCTTTCCGTGGCTGGCCGATTTACCCTACGAGTTACTGGGGCTGGGAAGAGAATATTGGAACTCTTGTTGTTGTGTGCTGAGCGCGAAATACGAGATTGGGGAGTTGGAACGTATCTCTGCAGCACTTTACCTTACACTATTAGTTCTTATCTAGTAGAACAAATCCACAAGGGCCGTGACGAGGGTTCGAACTTACGTCCGAGAGGATCCCAGACGCTGCCTTAATCTTATCTAGTAGAGTTTGCTGGGCAGTGCTTCAGATTCTGGGCTTCGCCTATCAAGTGGCCGGTCGTCCAATACACTGACTTCCGAGAGGTTTGTATCTTCTCAAAATTGGTTCTAAAACTTTGGCTGTTGGTCGCCCCGACTATTTCCCAGTTTACTTCGATTCACTTGTTTTCTCTCCTGACGATTGATTGATTGATAAAGATTAAGCCACCCAAGAGGTGGCACGGGCATGAATAGCCCGTAAGTGGTACATTTTTTTGTTCAGTAATTCTTTTCAGTATTCTGAGGTTGCATTTAATCTTATTATTAATTCTTAAAGTCGCTATCGCGGGGGAGGATACTGCTTGACAGTCTTGTTGTTGTTTAAGATTTGCTACTTGGAACAAAAAGTTCCAAGTAGCACGGGCTATGGCGAGCCCGTAGTGTCTTATTGACAGCATTTATAAGGGTGTCCAGCTGCTGGTCTTTCCTGATTGATTGATTGATAAAGATTAAAGCCACCCAAAAGGTAGCACGGGCATGAATAGCCCGTAAGTGGTGACCCTTTTGAGCCATTACCAGTATCAAGAGCTGATATTGGAGATCTGTGGAGGTGCGACTGCACCCTGCGTGACGGGAGGTGTCTCCTGTTGGTCTCTCCTGACACCGAAGGTTTCCTTATATGCCTGTGGCTCAACTGCGTGCCCAGCTCCCTTGCTTCTCCTTCCGTTGTGTTACTGATCAACCTAATCACTCTGCCTTTAACTATTTAATCGATTCTTCTGAGAATTTTATGTCTAGATCATGTCCCCTTTATTTCTCTTTTTTTTATTCCGGTGTCGTTAAGTTTGGCTCCTTTAGTCTATCCTGGTGGCCTAACCCTATCAATTATAAGACACAGGGTGTAGAAAATATCGGTTCAAAAGGCAAGATACTGAGGGGGATATGCTCGTATCATCGAAGTTAATGAAGGAATATGATCCCTTCATAAAAAAGTATCCCCATATAAAGTACTGACGAGATTTGATAACAGCATAAAAGATACTGTGAGGAATAAAGTGGACAAGAAGAGCCTCTTTAAAGTGAGAGAAAGTAGGACAAGAGAACATAAGTGGAAGATGGAAACGCAAATGAGTCGAATATATTTAAGGAAATACTAGAAATCCTGTACGGGGGGGGGGGGGGGTCATCAAGTGGAATGCACTTGAAGAAGAAGTCGTGGAAGCCACCTCCACTTACGACAAACAACTCGAGCGTCTGTGGAAAAGAATCGCGTACAACAAGGCTAGGAGCTCCTGTTAGGTAAGCCTTATACTAATCTTTACTTCGTTCTTTTTGAGGTGGCGCCTCGACGACGGTGCTGCGTGTCATTGTTGATTTAGCGGCCACGACGACACAAGCGTTAGATGCGTTCCGGTATCCTCTCGCAGGGTAAAATGCAAAGCCTTACGACTATTTACACGTTACCTAGTCATTGGAAAACTACTGTACCTTGCGGCAGATAAACACACTATCAGGCAGGTGTTGAGTGACCCCATTCCTCTGGAGTTCCCCGGAGAGGTGAGCGACGGACACCGAACAGAGAATTAGGAACCAGACGCGCTCCACAACCCGAGGGTAAGCACACTAGGGGCGCGCCATGACCCACCAACTGCAGGCAGCCCTCGGCCAACAGTCGCCGTCTCTCCGCCTGAAGATCCAACCGGAAAGCGGAAAATGTTTCACCTTCTATGAGACCCCAGGCGATAAGTGCCCCAAGCGTCGTGTGAATCCGGGTCATTGAAGAGGCCTACCTGACGGTAGTATCGAGACCCAATGGGCAAAGTCCCGTTACGTGTTCCGGAGGTACCAAGGCAGAACAAGTGTCAAGACGCCCCCAGACAGAGCGGGTGTTCAGACGTCACCAGACAGAGCGGGTGTTCAGACGTCCCCAGGCAGATCGGGTGTTCAGACGCCCCTAGACAGAGCAAGTATTCAGACGTACTCATGCAGAGCAATTGTCCAGACGTCACGAGGTAGAGCGGGTGTACAGACGTCCCAATGCAGAACAAGTGTCCAGACGTCCCAATGCAGAACAAGTGTCCAGACGTCCCAATGCAGAACAAGTGTCCAGACGTCCCAATGCAGAACAAGTGTCCAGACGTCCCAATGCAGAACAAGTTTCCGGACGTCCCCAGGCAGAGTAAGTGACCGATGGTAGTCAAGGTTGAGCCAAGAATCCGGCCTGCGTGCCAGAATCCACGTACAGGGTATCAGCTCGGAGTGAGGAAGGGGGCTGTACTGAGCTTCTTTGGTTTTATTTATGAAAATGGATGTATTCTAGTAACTAATCAAACTATATAAAATATGTGAATGGATGTGTGATATTAATTTTCCACTTTGGTGTATCACGTTCCCTATCCACACATTTCTAGATAGTTTCCATGCTACTGAAGGATCTTGGAGTGGTCATTTAGGGGCGATCCTCAGTACACACAAAAGTCTAACTGGCAGTAACAAGACTAACATCAACAAACGCTCCGCTACTCTGGTATCTCAATTACAAGACGAACTTAGTTACGACATAAAACATAATGCAATCACTGTAAATATACAGGTAAGCTCTGAAGCAAAAACTTTATACATGCACATATTAATCTAATGAAGGATGATTATACTGATCTTCTCACCACGGAAGACAACCCATGGAACGATACTCAGAAGAACCTAATTAGTTTACTGTGAAGAAGCCTAAATTACTGGTAGACCTAATCCAAATCTTGAAGATATTGGAGAACTTCTTTACACTGTGAGAAGAGAGAAACCATTAAGACTATACAATACTTGGAAAGATATGAGGATAAGAATTTGGGATAGGACGAAGGAAAGGATTAGTGCCCAACCACTTAGACGGTTGGGGATTGGACGCCGACCTGCAAGAAGCGAGGCTGTCGTAGTACCGTCCAGCCCAAACGGTTGGAGGAACTAATTGAGATGTAATTATATTAGACAAAGGCAAACCACGTTACAAAGCCCATAAAAATTTAAATGAAGGCTTTAAAGTTTTATTTTTGTCTACAGAGCTTTGTTTGGTAGTGGGCTTAAGGCCTATCAACCTTTAAAGGGCTGTTAGGGTCTATCAGCCTCAGTAGTGTTATTACGGCTCCTACACTAGCGTGCTGGCCAACCAACAAGTACACTTTAGTTTTGAACATGTGCTAATTAATATATGAATAAAGTAGTAAAAAATATAAGTAAATGCATGTCTTTAAGAGTACTCTGTTGTATTTTTCACTGGAAACAACCAAGTGCAACACTGGCTTATAAGTTACTTGAGTTATTTAACTAATTCAGACGCAGGAATGACAAATAATTACATAGTCTCTGCCTCTGGTGTTCGTCTGATTACCTGTCTCTTTTTATTCCTGTTTCATGACTTCCTTCTCTCATGGCAAGGCTGGTGGGAAGAGAGGGGGACGTTAAGTTGATCTCCGTTGATTTGCTAAGCTCATTTGACAGCGATACGTAGGAATTACGACCATCTTAACTCTGTCTTAAGGTGTTACGACCACCATACCTCTGTCTTAAGTTGCCGCTCCTCTCGAAGGGAAAAACATGTCTCCTGGTCCCTCCTGCCGCCGCTCTTCCTCCTCGCCCCCCGCCTCCCTACCTGACGGGTCGTGGTCGCCGACCTTGTCCACAGACTGCGTGCCTCATGCTCGTGTTTCCTGTTTGGGTGAGTTGGCCGCCGTGTTCCAGCTGAGACTGGCCGCCCGTGTTCCTGCTGAGGCTGGCCGCCCGTGTTCCTGCTGAGGCTGGACGCCCGTGTTCCAGCTGAGGCTGGCCGCCCGTGT